CCCCCCCTCGCTACGCTACTGAAACACGTTGTGTCTAGAGAACATGGTTTGTGTCGTTGCTTCACAGAGGGACTATACCAGAGAAAAGTCCGGCTGCACACAGGTTACTCAGTTGCCCAGGGATTAACATATAAGGTTATGTAAATATGTAACATTCCGTAGTTGAAAACAAAAATCTTACCAGTTGTCTCAAACAGTTAACCAACTCAGCTGCACCAGATATCGGGTCGTCCAGCAGCCATATCACACCTGACACAAATATATCATCATTCTTACYATGAGTTTATATTCTGTAAAGAATTTCATTATGCAACAGACCGGGAACAGACGACCTGGAAGGCCAACAGTCCCGACCCATCCCGCGGGCATTAAACGACCTGAATCATATAACACAAGTTACTTCAAAGCAAAGGAATGACAAACATCAAACTAACCATCCAGGTCRAAAATAAATGCATCACACGAATTAATAAATCGTTTTGCCTCTTCACTTTGCAGCAAAATTTTTGCATCTTTTGCAGCCATTTTGTTTTCTGTCAGTAACCACTGACCAGCATTTACTGCGGGCTTATGTACTAGTACCCAGGAGTTTATTATTGCGCGGGTATATTTGACCGTGAGGTGGAGRCTTGACATAGGAGCCTAGTAAAACAAGATGGCGGCGGGAGGGGAGGTTTGCACTTGGAGAAGGAAAATAGTACAAAGACTCGAGCATCGAAACCTTCATGAGCTAAAGTACTTTGATGATCTYGTTAAAGCACGTGAGTAAACCTTGTAGTACGTTTTGATCCCCTCCGTTTGAGGTCTGTGGCGTATGTGTAGGGCATTTCTAGGGTCCCGTTTTTTTGACATGACTAAGGTAATATTTTCACCTGCTATTTGTCATTTACTGGGGTGTTTAATCAAGAATACTCAACATCTAGTGATGAGATATCAATGGTGTATACCTAAGTGATTGATATTTCAATCCAAGGTCAATTTGTCCCTTAAGGAATTTGGATCAAACCCTTAAAAGTGAGGAATCTAAAACTATACCCAAAATTCATTATTCTAGTTTCGACTTCCGGCATGACACGATGTCCAGTACGAAAATGCCAGAAAAGAATTTCTGGGTATTTATCTATATTATTAGTGCTGTTAGCATTGCACGATGCTAATGTACTACTTGAAAAATGCATCATATGTTTTGGAATATGTTGATTGAGGCATGATATATATGGAGAGTCATTAACTTGAAAGACTATTATCTTGAATTCTTTGGGACAAAGAGAAAAGTTTGAAGAAATGGAGGTGAAAATAACAGCTGGACATTCTCCGACAGGTTCTACAGTTATGATGATCAGCCAAATTAGTTTTAGCCGAGTCATACCTCGTTTCTAGCTTGACATTTTTGGTCAATGTGACCAGCAGCAAAGCAAAGATTTGACCAGACAAGTTCCAATTTTACCCAGACATTGTCCGATGACCAATCTTTAGTTTTAGCCCTGTCCAGGATAAAATATTAGTAAATAGATGCTTCTTATTGCCAGTAATGGAAARTTCGAGATATAACTGTAATGGGACAGCACTGTGTATTGTGGTTAGTGGAGAATGGCCCCATCCCCACCATGGGAAATCCTCCTGGTTATAAATTTGATTTGATTATTCCAGAGGGTATCATTTTATCATTCACATAATCTGGCTGATATGTTGTCTTTCTTGTACAGACAATAAATTATTTGAAAGTGCAGACTCCTCAAAATCAAAGATAACACAACTTGAGATCCAAATTTTTCAACTTCAGCAGGTAAATAGATGGTGTTGATGTTTTTCTGCTTACTAATAGTGATGTGATTCAAACTGTATTGTTGTTGTGTAAATAGACAGACTTAACTGCTGCAAAGTTATACAATTATCACTAAAACACTGTCACTACTACTAATAAAGCAGTGGCACATCAGCACAGCACAAGGGGGTTGAACTGTAAGCAACATGAAGGTGCCTCTGCCAGCCACTATACAGTCCATGTATGATCTGAGGCATGGCTTTATAACCAGTTTGAATTAATTATAGTGGGTTGCAGGAGGGGGAAAAACCTGCCAGAAAAACCCTTGGAGTCATAAATAGAAGCAACCAACTCAGCTCACATTCAGTGACTGGGAATCAAACCCATAACCACAAAAGTGAGAGACAAGCATTTTACAACCATGTCACCCCGATTCCCTAGATCAATAACAGTCTGACTTTGTTTTTCAACTTCAGGAAAGGGTAGAACTACAAGGCCGGATTCAAGAGCTCAGGTTTGTATGATATTGTGTCACACATCTAATGCATGTAACATATAATAATACTCAGACAAAGCAATCAGAAATATCTTAAAGGGACTCTGAGGTGCCATCGATGTGGTGTACGTGTCAGCAACTTCATCTTCACTTCCATCTTCTTTAAAGCCAGTATCTTCCTCATACATTCAGGGAAGGTAGATCTTTAATATCTTAGATACCACACATGCTGATCTTTTTGCTAAGATAACCGTGCATTCACCATGTAATTATAAATTGGCAATATCAGAACTAGCACAACGCAGAGGGCTGAAAAAGCATTTCAGCAAAATGAATATGCATTGAACGTATACGTATATGAAATAGAAAATACCGAAAAAAGCTCACTTATTTGGAATATAAGAACGTAATAGAAAATACTTAAAAAAACTCACTTATTTGTA